CTCCTGGCTGCTGCTGCTGCTGCTGCTGCTGCTGCTGCTGCTGCTGCTGCTGCTGCTGCTGCTGCTGCTGCTGCTATTACTACGACGACGACGACGACGACGACCCGTCCATCAAAGTTTTGAATCGGATGTGTGCCATACTCAATATACATGAGCAGCAAGCTGCAGAACGTGGGCATCACAAGTTCGCTCGCTTTGCGGCTCGATTTTAAAGCACGTCAACACCAAATCCTCAAGCTTTCTCCTGGCTTGCCGTAAGCCAAATCCCAGAAAGAATCGCTGTTGGCATAGCCAGCCTGAACTTCCTAAACCCTAAACCGCCTTTCCTGAAGGCGAAGTGTCCGAGCTGCTATCGAACATTGCATTCTGCTGGCCTCCAAGTTCAGCGTTCGGGCGGGCTTTGGGCGGATTCCGGAGTGGAGAGGCTTTAGGTTTCGGTGCCCATCTACAGCATATCCCCTTACTTGGACTCCATACTATATATTGGAAGAACGTACCTCAAAATCCTACTCTAGTTCGTAAGTCCCCTAAACCCTAAAACTCCCTTACCTCCAAGAATCCGAAGCCCAGGTCTGACCAGTTGCGGCTTTGTGGCCTTCTTCGTGCAGGGCTGAGTCCTAGAAGTTCGAGTTGGTCACTCCCTGGATTTCGCATCAAATTCTTAGGGTTTGGGTTTAGGGAGGTTTAGGGCGTCGTCCAGCGAACATTGCGGAATTGCAGTTTTTTCATGATGGTGTCTATGTTCAATGCCCGAGAATCGAGCATGAAAACTCCTTGCCTTGGCTTGCGTAGAGGTCGGGGTCCTGAAGCAGCCGCTGATCCTGGGATATCTGCTGGGCGCGGTCCTCAGCCCACACCAGATGGATGGGTTTAGGGTTTAGGGCCAGTTCAGCGTTGAGGATCGAGGATTTCAATTTCGGGAAAGCTGGTAGGGCCAGTCGCTGAGCTCCGCCAGGTGGTGTGCTTGTGGGCCCCAACCTTGGCCTGGACTTGGTTCACAGTCATGACAACGTCTGCCGCTCAGCTTCCAAGCAACTCGAAGGTGGCAGCAGCCATCAAGCACAAAGCCATGTGTGGGCAGCGATAGAAATTGCCTCCCCACATCCTACCAAGCCTTTGCCCGGCGTCTTGTCAGGTGGCCGAGATCGCCAACCTTGGCTTGGTGTTCCTCCTGTTCATGATCGGCAACGACCTCGGTCAGCGAAGACTCCGCTGATTCCTGGTGCACCTGTCACAGTCCATCTTAAGCCACCTGCCTGAGTTTCTGTCAAAGCCTATCGACGATGGGCGACACCGATTTCTCTGCATAGAGCTACCTTGAGGTTTGGAGTTGGATGTCAAGGAGATTCTGCGAGTGACAGTCTCAGCGTTGGATGCGTGCTTGTTGCAAAGTGCGGGACATCGTACCGGAGTTGCCACAAAGTTGCAACATGATTCTACTCGAGTCGCTGAAGTCAAGAACATGAGATCGATAATCACCCTGTGCTGAACTGCAGAGCTGGATGAAACAGGGATGCGGAATCTAGGCAAGTGTCATGCGCTTCAATGGGAATATATCTTATCATCTTATCTCTACGTCCTGGCCGTGCTCCAGGATTCAGCCCCTATACACTCCATATCACCCCATACCCCTCACCCAAAGCCTGAACCCGGAAGCCCTGAAAAGCGCGTCCAGATGGGTCGTGTGGTGCTGCTCACCGGCTTCTTCCAGTTTCCGGTCTGCTTTGGTGCCGGGGACCTGGGGGCACATCGGGCGCTCTGAGAGGCGTACGTAGCGCTGCGAGGCGAAAGCCGACTCCGTTTAGGGTCATGGGCTATAGGATGTTATATACATATATATATATATATAGAAGGTTTAAAGTTCACAGGGTTTAGGGTGTAGGGTTAGGCCACCTAGCCTGCTCGCTGGTGCTCCCCGCCGCGAAGTCCGAGACTCTTTGAAACATGTCTTTGGTCTGCGATAGCGAGCATGACAGTTGCAGACTGTTGGAGCCTGAATATTCTGTATGTAGGCAAGAGGTTCAAGCCCTCTGCAGAAGCTCCATAAGAAGAGCGGTAAACCGTCAAACCCCAATTCATGTAAACCCTGAAGCCCCGGAGCCCTAAAGCCTTACACGCCTAGAGACCCTTCAACCCCATCCCCTAAACCCTTAAACCCTAAACCCCTCAACCTCTGGATCCCTTCAGCAGGGCAACCCTGAAGCTGAGCCCTAAAGCCCTTCAACCCAATAGATCCCTGCTAGAGGCCCTCCAAAACCCCCAAAGCGGTTCAACGACCTAGAGCTTTAAGAAGGCAGCGTCGAGGCCCCAGGGTTTCGGGTTTAGGGCTTAGGGCATGCGCAAGAAGCCCTTAAGCCCCAGAGCCAAGTCCTTAACCCCGCATCTCAAGACCTAGACCCAAAACCCCAAACCATAAGCCCTAGTCGCACTAAGCCCCAAACCCCCAAACCTAAGCCCAAGACCCCAAAGACCTGAACCAAGACCCCCCAAGACCTAAACCCCGAAACTCCAAACTGTGTCCTAACTCCCAAAAGCCTAAACCTGAAACCCCTAAACCTGACACCTAAATCCCGATACCGGAACCCTAAACCCTACGCCCCAAGGCCTACACCCAAACACTCAAAACCTCTAAGCCCGAAATCGCCAAATCCTTAATCCCTTCAACCGAGGCCCAATACCTGATCTTCTCGGGACTCGGACTTATCGGTTTGAGCTTCGGTACTGGCGAGTATGCAAACATGTGCCCTGCAGGGTTCGGTAAGCTTAGTGCTTACAGTGACAGGGCTTCGGGGGTACTTAAAGTTTCTGGGGTTTAGGGTTTGGGAAAATCTGGTATTTGGGGTCTAGGGTGTCAGGTTTCAACAGCAACGGCAGTGCTACCTGTGGCCCACAAGACCTACCTTTTTTCAGGAACTAAGATTAACAAGCTAGGTCTTTTCGGCGACAGGTACAGGCTACAGACTCTTAGGTTTTAGCTTTAGAGTTCCAAGTCTTCCGTTGAAGCCGATCTAGCAGGATAGTTTCGGATAGTTGCTTTTGCGGCCCTTGATCCTAAACTTAATCCTAAACCTAACCCTACATCCTAAACCGCGATTCCGGGCCCCGACAGAGCGTTCCCTTAGTAATGTGAGATTCTGCACTTGTGGTCGATTCTGGGACAGCAGGCCTTCATTGTCTTATCGAGGGGCTATTAGCATCGATCGTGCCATTTAGGTCTGGGGTCCATCTTAACGTCCCTTCTTTCCAGCGTTCCAAAACCCCTGCGTGGCTTTGGCAGGTACGTGGCGCTGGTTTGTGCGATTTCATCCACGATGATTGCCTGGGCCTGGGCTGCTGCCACTGTCTAAACCATGTCAGGTACCCATCCAGTGGATTTCCACCCTTAAACCTTATAGACACAGGTCGCATGTGCACGTTAACCCGGGCCCTGTGCACAGAAGCATGGCATCTAAAGCTCACGGCATGTCGCTACACCCTAAGCCGCGCAGACTCTGCTGTTGGGTCTCCTTTGCAAGACGAATGCTGGAACACTGCAGGTGGTGAAATGCCTCTCAGAAAAAGGCGAGACAGACAGGCGCCTGTGAAAGTGCCGGCGACATGTGTGACAGTTCGGTCAAGGCTAAGGCCACGGCGGTTAAGGGCAATAGGCTTGTCCAGCGAGAATTATCAGCAGCCTCTGTCACGTTTGCCTGGGTAGTCGGCTTACGCCAGATCTGCTTGCGTGAAAGGCCCAACGGTCGACTCACCGTGGGCATTCTTATCTTCCAGGCGCCGGCTTTGTCAGGTCCAGGGTCCCTCTTGCTGCAGCGTCTAGCAAAACATTTCAAGAGATTTGGTGGCCTTAGGACCATGCAGCTTTGTTTAGAACAGTGACTAGAAGTGTGGGGTGCAGAGTCCGGGCGGGGGGGGGGGGGGGGNNGGGGGCGACCTAGAGGGGTAGTGTGTCACATTATTTTCTATTATTCGTATGTCATATGCTATCCCATCCCCTCCAGTCCTCGCACATCGTATCATGTCATTGTCATCTCTGTCCTATCCTATCAGATCATATCACATCACAACAAAGTACAGCAGAGCATAGCACTGGTTGGCGTTGCAGACGATGGTGTCTCATATTATCTTTTGTTTTGTTGTCTCAATCGTGTCTTAATCTTAAGTTTAACCTTAACAGCATCTTGTCTTAACCTGTTTCATCTCATCTCATCTGATCTCATTTCATGTGTCTTAGATCATCTTACCAACCTTTATCTTGGCTTGCCTTATGTCATCTTACATATGCGTGGGTTTGTTGGACAGAAACTATCAGCAGCAACCTTACAGGAATGGGCCCAGCTTCGACAACACTCAAAGCTGGCCGTTTGGTTAGCCAGTGTTGCGAGGACATTTGGGCCATGGTCTTCCTGGCGATTCAGCCGAACTTGGCCAAGCCTGATCTCCTGACGCTATGCAACTTGACCTTTTGGCATCCAGCTGTCAAGCCCAGGCTTCAGAAGCCGTCACGTTGATATATAAGCAACATAGGGGAATTGCAGCTACAGTCCTGCGCTAGCGGACTCGGTCCCAAACCTCTCGCCTTACGTGTCACAATCTTCGACCAGGAAGTACGATCTTCGCACACCAACTCTTGGCCCTAGACCCTGGAACGTCCACACAGGGACAAGAGCTGCTTCAGGGAAAACGCTGTCATCTTTGCACCCTAAGCCCCCGAACCCTGCTAGTCCTGGCCTTTGCCAAGGCAAGCAGTTCGGAATGCTTCCGGGCAGCAGTTGGTCTGACTGCAGCTAGGAGGTGTCCGAGAGAGCATTGCAGATTCAATTAGAGCTCAGGGTTAGTGTTGAATGACGGCTTGGGGTTAGGGTTACAGGATTGGAGTTTGAGGCAAAGGGTTACAGAAGAAGTTTGCAAGGATTGCTGCGCTGATCGTTCTCGCGCTCACCTACGCGAAGTTTGTGATGCCGGCCATCTTGTTCTTCGCCTCCAGGACTCGCAGTGCGACGATTCAACTTCCAAGCACGGCACTGTTGGGGGCAACGCGATGTTGACTTGAGCTAGTGTGCTGATGCTAGTCGCAACGGAACCACCGCTAGCCACACGGATGCTGGCAATGGCGATGATAGTGATGGCTAGGTGATGTTGGTGCAAGCTGGAGCTTCCAGATTTCAAGCGCAGGCCGTTTGAATTTTCTGAAACCTGTGGTGAAAGACCAGGGTGTTTCCAGCACAGTGTCTCCGCTCGGTTCGCCAATCGTTACGGCACTATTGTCCTGTGATTCTTCGTAGTGATATTTCTGTAGTAGTTCCCTAAATTTGGGTCCCTTTTTAGGGTCCTTCGAGTAAGGGTGTATTTGGGGGCCCTAAAAAGGGACCCTCATTGAAAGAACTAGGCCATTCCCAGGTGCCAAAACCAAACACCGAGGGTTTGCCCCCAAGTCAACGTCTCTTCTGAGAAGCCTCCAAAGTCCTGGCTTGGCCAACACCCCGATGCTGAAACAGCCAACCCTATAGTGTATATATATATATATATACATATATATATATATATTTATATACATATACGTGATTCTACTTCATTATTCCTTGCACGTTACATATTATTTGCCATCATAAACTTTATGAGCTTGATGCCAATCAAGATCCCCAACACCCGTCGGCCGAACGGCAGTCAGGAGTGTGGAGCTCATGCTTGTCCTGTCCTTGTCGTGGTGCTTTTTCATGTGAGGAGCTCGGTTCGGTGCAGGGGCAGCATTTGCACAGCACCAGGAATGTTCAACGGTTCGGGCAGAGTTAAGCAATGAATATCAGAAAGAGACCATTTCTCATGGGAACCTGGGAGTCTCTATGTTGGCAGGGCTCCAACACCTACTGACCTCACGGAGTGGGCCTTAATTCGGTGGTTGGGGTGTATGGTGCACAGGTCTAGAGCGCTCAGGGCCCCAAGACGTGTAAATGGCCGGGTCCAAAGGAGGACTTAGTAGCGTCCTAGTTTCCCGACAGTTGCAGGCAGCCATCGACCACGGAACCCTAAACCTTAAACCCCAAAACATAAAGCCCTAAACCCCAAACCCGATAACCCTAAACCCTAGACCCTAAGAAACCTACCAGAGATCCATGCAGATGTTGTGGCCAGGGGAGTCACTGCGAATCTGCCGTGGGCCTGGGCCTCTGCAAACTTGGTCAGTGGGTCAGTTCTAACCTTCGGGGTTTAGGTTTAGGGTTTTGTGGTTTAGGGTGTAGGGTCTTCTGGGTGACGGTTGCGCCGGGAAGCCAAGCCATTTCTGTTGAACTCAGCAGTGAACTTGTCTGCAGCAGCTACTGATGAGTGTGAGCACTAACCATAAACCGCTAAGCCCCAAACTCCTAAACCCTAAAGCCTAAAATCCTAAACCATTAAACCCCAAAGATCCTGTGCATCTCTACCTTTGAGGTGCATTGTGGACCCTTGCACTGCGGCAGAAACACCTAAAATCAGATACGATGGGAACCGAATGTATCGACCCCAAGAACAATACTCGTAGGTTCCCTAGTAACTTCGTGTAGACGGACTCCCCCAAAAGGAACCACTGGTTTCAGAAACCTCCGTCCAGTGGGCTCTGAACCTAAGATAGGGCCTGAGAAATTCGTCAAGGTATTTTCTTTGGAAGGCCCCAAAACCTTATTCTCATCTTTATGGCCCTGATATTGCATGGGAAGGTGGGTGTCGGCATGGAGCTTGCAGCTCTCATCGCAGGACCGGGCCGCTCTAATTGCGCCAGTGATTGTAGTGTATGAAGAGGGACTGAAACCGTAAACCTCATGGTAGAAAGGAGTCAACAGCAAAAGCACCTAAATCCGTATCCGTAAGCCGAACCCCAAACCCACACACTGCAAGTTATTTCGCCAGGAGTGGCCCTCGCCACCTTCCCTTACAGTGCAGAGCTCCGTGGTTGCAACTGCCTGGAGTGTGGAGGCTTAGGATTTAATGTTTAGAGGCACGTAGGCCATGTTCATGTTGCACCAGTGTCACAAGTTACAAGCTCTGCCAACAAGGCCATCCCTCGTCAGAGCCTCATCACCATGCCCTTCCAAGAAACTGTCGCAGTATCCACCTCAACCCCAACGCAACTATTGTGTACAGTACCATTCTTATTCATCTCCTTGCAGTATCTACCCTAGTTAACCGCCGCCCCAAGAGAATCTTAACAACCCGCAACAGTCAGGGCCAAATTTCAGAGCACCCACATACCTATAGTCTCCATTGTAGTTCCTTTTTGGGGATACCTTACAAAATCCTTAATATATAACTGGTTACACCAAAAAAAGGAACTACAATGGAGACTATAGGTAGTTGGCATTGGGCACGCTCAAGATGTTTCTTGCGGATGTGGCCGTAGTCGTTCCCAAATTCTGCGCCTGCTTTGTCGCATTCGAGTTTGGCCGTCCAAACAAACTAGAAACCGGTATCACTTTGGGTACTTTTCTAAATCGGGGTTCCTTTCGGGGTCTGTTTTATAAAAGTGCCTATGCCTATAATAAGGAACCCACAAAATAGTATAGGTAATAGTTTCGGCCCCTATAGTAAGTTGTGCTAGTTGCATGGGCGAGGATGACTGCGACTGCACGGAGTGAACAGTTGGGACACCGGAGTTTGCTGACTGGCAACCCCAGGAGGAGTCTGATTAAGGGTTGCAGTACACTGCGGCTACCGGGATAGATTTGACGTCTCTGCTGGTATGCATTTGTTGCAGCCCAAGGTTTAACGGGAAGATCAAGTACATCCGTGACTTCTTCATTACTCTGTTCTTCGCTTCCTTGGGAATGCAGGCAGGATCGCGAGTTCAACAATGATGGCCGAATGAGTTTTTGCGCGCTTCTGTCGGATTGTCTTAAGTTGCGCTTGCCTTGGCGTAGAGGAAGAGGCGAGGTTGTGAGTGTGTGAATTGCTGAATCCAGATCCCGATGCCGTCCGTGCTGCCCATCGTCACCGCCATCCTGATTGCCTTCCTCGTGATGTTGCTCCGGTGGGTGGGCATGGGCCCCGACTCACCTGGAGAGGAGTTGAGGGGGAATGGAAATGTGATGTGCTCCGGAACAGACTCTGGATTCTGGGTATTAACACTAAACCCTAAACCTCTAAACCCCTGAACCCCTAAACCCTATACAGGCATTCCCCAAGAAACGCCAGGCGCGGAATGCGTGGACAGGTTGCAGGCTTGTAGTCTTCCGAGAAGACGATCGGCCGAAGCGGACCGAATAAATCCAATCCCATTTGTTGCTGGGTTTAAGGCTTATAGGGTTTAGGGGTTGAGGGTTAAGGGTTTGGGGTCTCAATTATGAAGATCAGGATGGTCCGCTACAAGCGAAACTTTCCAAAAGCTGTTGCGGCTCCGTATGACACCATGCAGGGCATGGGCTTCACCATGGACATGCCGGGTAATCGCACCCACGATGTTCCTTGAGGCTTATGGTATTTTGATGTACTTCAAAAACCTAATCTACATGTTAAGACCTGTGCTAGTGGTCCACCACACAAGCCATGGCGCAGAAGACTCGGTCATGCCTGGTGCTGCTTGTCGTCGCGGCGATATGGTTCCAGTCATGGTGGCCCGCGAGATTTCCAGAGTTGTATCCCGCAAGGAAGATGTAAAACCGAAATCGCTGCTTGATCAAAGTACAGGTAAGTGGCAATAGCAGTTTAGTGGTCGTCATACGAAGAGTACTTGCAATGTAGATCGCGGCATCAAAAGCATGCATGTATAGGTATATATCTATGACATATATAGTATCGAGAGCTAGAGACGTAGAGATAGCTATGTATGCATGTGCAGGTATATGGAGGCGGTGGAGGATGGAATTCCACGATGTACCTCAAAACCTGACCCGATGTTGGCGAGTTCCTTCTCGCTGAGTATGTATGTGCAAGCAATTCGAACATACAGGCGCAGAACAAATGCCGGAAGCCCATTGTAGACTCTAAAAGCTCAAAAGGCCCCAAGCCCTAAACAGACCGAAGCATCTTGAATGCCAGGACGTTTATGGCCCCCGGACAGCCACTGAAGGCTGGCTACTCCCACACAGCCTTCGGATAGGTCTGCCATTGCGCATTCATACTTCTAAGTTCTAAGAGGCTGGTGCTACTCATTGCTACTCTACACTTGTAGGGATGTTATTTCTCACCACTGCCACCTCTACAAGACTATGGAGACATTAATGACTCCGACAGTGCTTTTTCACCTACTGAAATGAAGTCACAAAAAGAGTTGACATGGACAGGTTGCATCCCGTTAAATGACGGAACAGGCTGCTTCGCGGATTTCAATAGGAGCTTTGGTGAGTCCTTCTACCTGGTGCAACCTCCTTCCCCTTCCGAAAGTACAATGAGGCCCACAATAACCCAGCTTCAGTTATCCAGTTGAGAAGAGCCAGCTGGATTAGCAGCCCTGGAATTCGGTACAAATCACTGCACTTCGAGCGCATTACAGCCAAGTGTAATTATATTCCTGATGTTTCTGCCTATATGCTTGCATCCGGCATGCCCCTGGTGTTGATCAGGCACGGGTGCGTCGTGCCGCAGAGGTGTGGTGTACAGGGGTTGCATCGTGCTGCTGTCTTCGATTCCGGAACTTCCGGATAAAGAAAGCAAGAGTTGTTGAAGATTGGGGTCTTTAGGCCTTTAGGATCTGTTCGTGGAAACTCTTCAAATTGCACAGCTCCGACGGTAGACTTCGCCAGAGTTTCGGGGGCATTTGGCGATCAGTCACAGTCATCGGTGCGACTGAGTGAAAGCGGGAGAAGCCACTAGGATGCTACCTTAAGATTCATGTATCATTCTTTGCGAAGCTCGTTGTGATTCACTTCATGTGTCTGAGATGAACCACAAAAATATTGTGAGTCCCTGCATTTTCGTTCGGAGCAAATTTAGGTTGTGGATAGCTTTTCATTGGGCATTCCGCAAAGCAAACGGGATGCCCTTCAGTTTAATTACGGATCAAAGAAAGCCGGCCCGTTGTCAGGCTGAAACCGTTGCCGCGCCTACGACTGCTGAGGAAGCAGCCGAGGTACTCGTCTGCTTTTAAGAACACGGTCAAAGCTCCATGTTGTTTCAGTCAGAGCTTGCTAGTTCTGGCACGCCGGCAGAATTCTGAATCCGTAAAACCGAACTCGTCACCTCTGCATGCTGCCGCCAGCCTCGTCGCGTGCTGCTGGTCGTTTCGGACGCCAACCCCTACCTGTCGGAGCCAAGCAAGGTGAGGCTTAGGGCTTATAGGGCCTAGATTACTTTGAGACTTTGAGCGCTAGGGAGGTGTGCTGCATTGGAGCACCCAGGAGGCCGAAGGATGTAGTAATTAAGACCGCATGTACAGACTGCTTGTCTGTTTCCGGGATCCCGCTGTTTCGCCGTCAGATCCTGCATGTGTACTGCAAATCCTACCCAAAGCTTTAAAAGAAGCAAAGTGGTTACATGTATAGGGCTCGTTAGGATTTTTCTGGAATCCTAGTCCGAAAGACGGCTTTAGAAGGGTAGGTTGCCTCCCACCTCCTCCTACGGAGCTTCTGCCCGGTGCTCACGTTCTTCAAACGCAGTTGTCCGTCGTTAATCGGTTTAGGGTTCAGTGCGTCCCTTGAGTTGGTTTGTTTCCATGGTGAATAACATTCGCCTTGCAAGACTCAACCTTCGTCACTCTTGGCACAGTTGGCCACTGCAATCACGATCACGGAATAGACACATGGAATGGAGTTATTTCGGGGCTTGCAGACTTACTACTTGTTTGTCTGACCAGGAACCCTGAAGGTTTCCATTGCAGCAAGTTGGAGAATCCGCGAAATCTCCTGACGGCCATACCTCGGACAGAGTTATTCAGACTTGCGCGTCTTGAACATACTTGCCTTGTATAGTATAGTGGGAATCTACAATCGGCTCCCTCGAGAATAAGTCCTGATTCAGACAAGCCTGCACAGTGCTTTTGCCACATCACTAGCACTCCTTTGCAGCGGAGGCCGCGCTGCGCTACGCATCCAATGTGGGAAGCGACGGGCATGTAACTGTTGCTCGGCAAGAAACCCTGCAACCCTGACCTTGCCCAACAAACTTGCTGGAGGTAATGGCATTTTGAGTAGGATGCATGTCCACAGAATCGTTGGCAAAGTCCGGAGGGGCAACACAGAATGATGGCGCTTAAGGCCATGCTGCTACCCTTCGATGCGGAGAACACAAACACAACAGCTTTGCAGTCGACAGCCTTGGCCTCAGCTCTATAAGTGATCAACAGGCAAGCTCCTATCTCTTGAAAGTCCACTTGACTCTTCTCACTGGTAGCTTTCAATTTCATGGAACTGTAGCTTTCATGTTCCCGCCAGCTGCCCTTGCTCCAGCTGGTCAGGCCTAGAGCCTCCAAGCTCCACACAGCATGGAGGCCTTCACAATGCTTACGGAGGAGCATGAGCAAAATCGGAGCTCGTGGAATTTGGCGACCGAGCAGCACCACAGACATCAACCGCAGCTGGTCAGTGACTACATTGACAAGGCCCGTAACAAGCTCTTCGCAGAGGACATGAAGTTGCTCGGCGACCTGCACGGCAAGGATGTCCTGCACCTGCAGTGTAATGATGGCCAAGACACTGTGTCGATTGCACGATGGCTGAAGCCTCGGCAAGTGCATGGAGTGGACATCAGCGACTTCGCTGTAAACTTCGCAAAGGAGCTAAGTACCAAGATGCTGGAACAGAACTGTTTCGACGCAATGACAGAGGTGCGTTTCACTCGCCGAGATGTCGTCGAATACTTGAACGACCCTGTCCACAGCAAAAGCGTTGACGTGGTTTACTCCAGCTATGGCACGGTAAACTGGCTGAGCAATTTGAAGACCTGGGCCATGGGTATTGCGAATGTCTTGCGACCAGGCGGTCGCTTCGTAATCATAGACTTTCATGCAGTTGCTATGGCACTGGATTGGCAAAGCATGAAGCTGCAATATGACTGCCTCGGTGGCACCGCATGTCCAAGCGATGATGGTGTGTCGGACTACATAGGTCAAGATGCCACGTTTCAGAACCCGAATCCTTCGATGGAATACACCTGGGGGGTCGGTGATATCGTAACGAGCCTGTTGGAAACCAGGCAGATGCAGCTCCAGTCGCTCACAGAGTACCCCTATGTTAACGGATATCAGATGCACGAAACCCTGTGCTGCTGCAATGTCCCGATGACATCCGAAGCACCCGAAGGGCAGCTAGATGGTCAAACAGATTCTGCCACGCTGGCTGCCGGCTACGGGGGACTTCCACAGGATGTTCGGTACGCACCACCGCCGGGAAGTCCTGTTACGCCGATGATGTACAGCATCGTCGCAACCAAACATGACAGAAGCGCTTGCTAGAAGATTGAGCACTAACTGCTCTCCAGTGCTGCCAGACGAGATGATTTGCAGATGCTCTTCAAGAAGCTTGTCAGACGTTAACGGGCAGGAGGCTTTTGAGTACTGAGGTAATCTGATCACCACACATGAGGAGCTCGTTATAGCAGTCTCTCCTGGATGTACAGTGGCCGCCCCACGTGAGTTCTGAGGTTAAGGTCCATCAGAGCCGGTGCACAGCAGTGGATGCCAGTTTACTGCCAAGAGAGAAAGAGAGGGCATGGCTGAAGTCGACGGAGTGGCATGGAAGCCAATGATGACGACAATGGCTAAGACGATGACGATGATGATGGTGATCACGAATGTGACGATGATCATCATCATCATCATTGCAATTTGTGATGTGGTGATAGTGAAAATGAATGTCACGACCGCCACGGATCAACACCGTGGACCAGCATTAATGATGGTGGTGGCGGGGGTCGGGGCGGCGGCGGTGGCAGTTGTTGCTGCAGTAGTCCGAGTCGCTACAAATGTTTGTGTTGGCATGCCCCTTCTCACTGCACTTCAGACGTGCTTGGGCACAAAGTGTTTACGAAGCTACTGCCGCAGCCTTGCTTTCTCGCACAGAGTGTCTCATGCCTCCTTATGTACCTGCTGCACGATTCAAGTCAGCTTGATTCCACCTTATTTCACAAACATACTCCCCAAGTGCTCGACACCCAAGTAACATTGTCTTCCGCCCGTGTCGGGTTCTGCCCCACAAGATGTTGTTGAGACTGATTCTGTGCGTCTCTGCATTCATGTCTCGTCCGGAGCCAGATATGGAAAGAGTCCCAAGTTTCAGGGAAGCTGGGGCTTTCAGGAGTTCAGAACTAAACCCCAATGTAGGGGTCTTCAGAATTACCTATACTATTTCGACGGGTTCCTTATATTCTGATTATAGTATAATCTACCCCCAAACCCTATTCTTATAATTAAGACCCCTACGTAAGCTAATTGCTAAGGCCCCTACCTTCAACTCACAGAGTTCCTGCTAAGCTGCGGCCTGTGTCTTCTACGAAGCTGGGGAGCTCCGGTTTTGGGGTTTGGTGTTTAGGGTTAAGGGTTTAGGGTTTGGGGTTTTGGGGTTTTGGGTTTGGGGTTTAGGGTTAAGGGTTTAGGGTTAAGGGTTTAGGGTTAAGGGTTTGGGGTTTCGGGTTTCGGGTTACACTGCGGCACCAGGTCCAATGGTGGTTTGGCGAATGCGGCCTCGCTGATGAGCAGCCCTTCTTCTGCAGGGATCTGCAGGGATACTCGTTTTTACGCCAGTGAGCAGTTCATGCTCATTGAGTGAAGTCGAGTAACTTGCGTACCTTGCTAGTACAGCCACGGTCAGGGAGAGCATGACATCCATGAGAAAGGATCGCTGGGAGTAGCGGCAGCAATGACAGGCAACATTAGCGAGGACTGCCACCATCCTCTTCCAGACATCGTTATCATCACCAGCAGCCGTGTAGGTGGTGCCCTCACCTGCAGTATGAACTGACTACTTGACACCTGGTTATATACGCGCTTGTAAGATGATCTACCCGTAGGATGACTTCTGTAGAGTATCAGTTGCATGTGCTTCCCCAGTTGTTCGGTCTGTGACATGCTGATCAGGTCGAGCTTCAAGTTTGGGGCTTGTTTGTGCCGACATGCCGACATCCACCATAACAGCAGTGGCCCCACCACCACCACCACCACCACCACCACCACCACCACCACTGCCACCTCCACCACCACGACGACGACTACTGCAGCCGCTGCCGCTGCTGCTGCTGCCGCTGCTACGACTGCTGCTACTACTACTGCTACTGCTACCGCTTCTGCTTCGCCGACGACGACGACTATTGCTGCGATAAGGACTACGACGACGACGACGGCTACTGCTACTAGCACTGCTACGACGACTACTGCTACCACCGGAAACACCACAACGACCTACGAACCCCTGCAAGTAGTAAAATGAGAACCGGAATACAACATAGGAGTGATACTGACAGATTCAGCCATCACATTGTCAACAGGATCATTGGGGAGCTTTGTTCCCTCGTTTCGTGGTCCCAAGGAGGATTAGGAGATCAGAGTGCTAGGGGCCAGACCCAAACGTTCAATCCCCATCCCCGAGTTCGCTGCTTCCGAACCAGAAGCTCAAATCTGCATCCTCATAAGGTTCGAAGAGCTGCTTCCTCCGGCAGGACGCACTCGAGTTCGGCATTCACTTCAGGATTTCGAGTTGAAGGTTATTGGATACTGTCCTTCAGTGATTTTCAGGTGTAGAAACGGCCCTTCAAGGCACATATTCGCAGGCCTGAGGATCTCCGAGGAGTCTGAATTGGTTGCCGACGACTTTGGACCGAGCCATATATAGATCAGCGAGTGGAGTCGAACCGATTTTCGTCAACCGACTGCCGAGATTTTCCTATCAGGGATCCCTAAACCCTGAGCCCGAAGAGAGAAAAACTGAGCTTTGCGACGAAATCCACCGCTGAGAATCCCGGGCTCTTGAGCTTCACTGGGCTCCTGCAATCTGCTTTGGGGTTTAGAGCTTTCGGGCTTAGAGTCTGCGGGGTTTAGAGCCTTAGGGTCTACTAGGGTGTACGGGTTGTGAACGTTTAGGTTGTGAGCTGTGAGACTACCACAGCGAAAGTCTTACGCCGTTGGTATCCTTGAAACTCTGAGGCTTTGTGTCAGGCTGCCACCTCTTGAAGCCCAAATCCCAATAACTTCCTGTCCAAGCGAGACGGGAGCCCCAATGAATCTGTTTCAGTGTCCAACATCCAGCAGAGTCCTTCGAGTCCTGTCCTTTCAACCATCTCAGGGCTTCTTAACATTCGGAGTAATCCCCTCCAATGTTCAGAAGCTGCCAGAAGGCTGAGCTTTCGTGGGACCATTGCACAGTTCTATACAGTACCATACAACTAGAGGCCATGACACACCACCCAACCCCGAGAAACCTTCGCTCTGCCTTTCGTCACGAGAGATGCCGCCCCGGCCGCTGCTATTGCAGATGCTGCGGAGCAATTGGGTTCGACGGAGGCTCTCTGCATCTTGCTTTGGGCCACGGGATGCATGGCCCATCATCTTGTGTCCAAATCACATCGCTCGACACCGAAAAATCTGCTTGTCCCAGCATTTACACCCTCTCCAGTATAATAGGATTCATGATAACGACGCAAAGCTTCTGAATATCGGCACAGCACATGCCGCCCGCAGGGTGCCAATAGAGGTCCAAACCACGAATGCCCAAGGGCAGGAGACCCAAATCCAGCCATGCTGCGCGGGAGGGCCAGGATGACCGAGTAACCTGCAGCAGTCCTTTTTGCACGCCGTTCTTCTTGCAGTGTAGGTGGTGGTACCAGCGGAGGCTGTGGCCAAGAAGAGGCACGAGACTTAAAGTTTGATCGGCTCACCCTAAACCCTAACTAAAACCCGGTGATGCAACGGCTTTCGCGTTTAGCCCCGGCGGTGGTGAAGATCTATACAAATCCACAAATATTTGAGTTTAAGATCTATAGGGAGATCTATGCGAGCCCACAACGGGCCATCTTGCCCAGCGTCAAGAGCCAGCGGTAGTTGCAGGCTGGATGCGCCTTTGCTGGCGACCTTCCTGGGCTGTCCTTTGGTGATTGTGCCGGAGTAGGTGCGGACTGAGCACAGATGGACGGCCGAATCCTGAAATCAGCATGGCACTCGCTTGTCCCAACCTGGACCTAGCTTCTGCTATTCTCAACACGGCACTGAACCCCAGCACGTTCATCTGAGTTCTGGCTGGTGCTGGAAGGATTTTTTGTGAAACCATCCTGCCATTTGATAGCGCAGGACGGGAAGTTCCTACTTATCCCTCGGGCCAGGACATCCTGTGGTACCGGGGCAAACATGTTTGACTCCTGCGCCAATTCGATGCGTTTCGATGCGCGATACAGAAACTGTTTAAGAACTCGCGCGGGATCTGTGTTTCCGCCACAAACAGCCGCTCACTAACGCATGGAACAGTGCTTTTAAGAAAGCTGATTTTGTCATTCATTGCTGAATCGCAGATACTGCCGACCCAACTCGCACGGATGCTAGGTTCTTGTGTGCGCTATCCGTTTTGGCTCCACTAGCCTACTAGCTTCAGCTCAGACGAGGCTGATGGCAGGTGAGACTCGTTCTTGTACGCTTGCGCATTACGCAAGCTCGGAGCGAAAACATCGTGGATGATCTGACCCTCCTTGTTTGTGGGTATAGTTGAAGTGTTTACTATAGTATTTTAGTAGTATATATTATAGCACGTTCTCAGACAGGTTATGGCAATTGGGGACCGGGGTTTGCACTCACTGCTGAGATCAACAGCATGAAGGTATGCCGAGCATGTCCACGAAGGCAGTCGTAGGAAAGTGCTCCATCAGTGTTCATCAACAACAATGGTAAGAATGAAAATCAGAGTGATAGTAATCATAATCAGAATCATGATGATAGCAATAGCAGCAATAATGATAACTAGACTAACACTGATTAAAACAGCAATACAAACACAGTAGTAATAAGAATAAGAAGACGAATTTCAACCATGACAACAATAGTCGCAGTCATCATCATCACCATCATCATCATCGTAATCATCATCATGGGCATATTGAGACAATATACTGATACCCACTGTAGTTACCATTATCTTAGCAGCACTCTTTCGGCTGCAAATCTGTACTCGATTTGCAGGGTTGTATACCTTGATACGCATTGGACACATGTGCCCACAAATCGATGTGTGTCATCTCAGGGCTGTCAAGTTATCAATCGTAGAAGCCAGGTCAAGCATTACGACCAGGATGCGCACACACACACACACACATAGAGGCACGTATATGCAAGCACACGCAAGTCAGAGGCATATCTTTTTTAGGGTTGGAGGTTTAGCATTTACCAGGGTTTATGGGGGGTTTGGGATACTGGGCCCCACAGAACCTCCAGCCCTTATCGAACCGAGAAATATTCTAAGGCATCTTCACCTTGGTCTACATGCTTGGGGGCACCGCCCGGCTCGGAATCCTCGCAACCCTGTGCCTTGGCTCCCTCTGCGTATCGTTTAGGGAATACAAACGGAGGGATGTGCAGGAAAGACTCCTTGGTATGGCTTGGTTACGCCGACTCCTAAGCACTCAACCAGCGAAAGTAAACGCTAAACCCTAAAAGATGTTTTCTGTCCCTGAATCCCTGTGCCTGTCTCAGGAACCTTTCGCAGATCTCAGAGTTTGCCCTGGTCGCTGGTACGCAAAGAGTTTACACAGGGGCAAGCTGTTCCCTCCACGTGTGGGAGCTCATCCTTCCTTCTCTTCTTCCGACCCCTGCTCCCTTTCGGGCTGGTGTTGCTCCTTCTAACGCTGCCAGTTCCACGAGCTACCAGACACAACGACGAGGACGACCACGTCGACGACGACCAACACGACAACAAGGATCGCTAGGACCACCACTTCTGCCACTCGCTGGTCTGGTGCTGCAGCTAGTGCTAGTCCGACTCCTAAACTCCTGATCCTCCTCCTACAACAAAAGCTAAGACTGTACCTACAACTATAACTACTGCTACTACTACTGCTACTACTACTGCTACTGCTACTGCTGCTGCTACTGCTGCTGCTACTGCTACTGCTACAGCTGCTGCTACTGCTACTGCTACTACTACTGCTACTACTACTGCTACTGCTACTACTACTACTACTACGACTACCATCACCACCACCACCGCTCCTGCTCGTGCTCTGCTGCGACAAAGATGACGACACTATGACGACATATGAACGAGGGCTAGGTCGAGGTGGCCAACTGCAGTCCTCCTCGTTTCGATCGCTGATCTTGTCGTCGATGCAACAGGTAGAACCTCGGTAGAGTACGGTGTTCAGCTTACAGAATCAGCCGCTAAGCGGCTAAGTGTTCTGCAGTTCCGTCTTGTTGGTTGGTCCTGGCTTTGTTTCGTTCGATTGGACAATGGCATCTGAGGAGCAACCAGCAAATCAACTCCCCGAGGCCCTGAACCGATGCGAGGGTTTGTCCACAGAGTGTAGACAGACAGGAGGTCGCGCAGCAAGAAGCAACCAACCCCCTAGCTAAACCATGGGACCCGTAATCCTAGACCTCGAAAGGAGCTTTCAAAATGCGATCCAGTTCGAAGAACCCAGAAACCTCAAGGTGCAGAAATTGCATTAGGGTAATTCTCCATGTTAGGGTTCCTTTTCAGGTCCCCAACATAGTACGGCACGCTTATAAAGGGGACCCCAATAAAGAGAGCTACCCATCTAGCCTTATGTTGAGGTCTCCAAAAGGCATTGTTTTCTCTGCCATCTCAGGTCATTTGCTCCCTGGGCTCCTTCGCCGCAGCATCGAGCTTCAGGGTGTGGGTTTAGGGGTTTAAAGGTTCAGGGTTCAGGGGTTCAGGGGTTCTAGGGCCTATGTGGTATTTAGAGGAACGAGAGTACTTGTTGTCGATGGTTGTTTTTGGTGCAAGGGAAGGGTGGCTTGTTATTACGCCTGGGGCTCAGATGGTAAAGGCGGTTAGGAGCTAGTGCCTTGCCCAGGTATTAACAAAGGACATATCGATGTCTCAACGCTGGAGATCATCATCTGGGCCGCTTGAATGCAATCCTCTTCTGTTTGCAGGCGAAACTGGATCCTAAACTCAGACCTCTCGTGTCGTGGTGTTCAAGAAGATCCTTCGATTCGCGACAGAGCTGTACATGAGTGCTGGTGTCATTCGTGAGACTGCGACGTGGAACAAGGTGTTCATGATCTTGTCTGTCCTTTCCTCCAACATCATCAACTACAACCACGAAATTTTCAGGACACAGGGCGGCAATTCGTGCATCATTGTACTTGGGACAGGGGCACAGCATCATGACACAGATCATGCTGTTGCCTGTTCGCGCTTTCCGGTAGCATGACGTCGGCGATGCCTGCCAGGATCATGGCATGGTTGTCGCGGAAGGTGGCCCAGTACAAAGCAATGCTCACGACATGTGGTTGTTAACACGGCCGTGTAGGCCAAGACCGGTTGTACGATGGCTAATCAATGTTTTGGTGGTGATGCCGATGGTGGTGGCGACGAGTGCGACAACGACGACGATGGTGATGGCAATGATACTGTCGGCAATAGTGCTGCTGATGATGACGATGGTGGTCCTTGCTTGAAACTCAAAACAAATGTATAAACCTCCTCTGCATGTCCGCAGGTAAGCAAGAAGGGCATTGAGGATGCCAATGAGGAGCAGACGCCGGACGCTCAAAGCCCACTCAAAACAGTGCTGCCCGGCCGTTTCTGCTCGGTCTCTCTCCTAGCGTTTTGACTCTGCAGCCGAGCAGTTGAGCTTTCTGGGTCGATAGTATTGGTATGTAACGGTAAGTGTGTGTGTATATATATATATACATACAGAGAGAGAGAGAGAGAGAGAGAGTCTCCTTTGCAGAACGGCCTCAGCCTACACCCACACCTAGGGCTTCCTCGCTTCGTACGCCTAATCACCCCCACTTCAAGAACCCGCAGTCCGGATCTACCACAGAACGAGCGGCTTGAAACAGGCATGAGGACGAGCGTGACATCCTTCTTCTTGGCCTGGCCCTCGTGAGCCGACTATCGCACCAGCCGCGGTCTGAAGCCTGTGTGACATGTGTGTACATGCACACACAATGACTTGCATATTGTACGTACATACATACATACATACATACATACACACATACATAGACATTTGCATTTACAGTTACATATAATATATACATATATACATACATA